CATCTTTCCTGGTGTTTTCCTTCTTTTGTGTCTATTTTATCCTCAGCAAAATCATTCTATATACTCCAGAAAAATCTCATAAACCCCAGTAAAATCTTTCAAGCAATATAAAAATTACAATATGGTTACATTCTATTTTTTAATGAATTATTACAATAAATATAAGTGAAAAAATTAGCATGTTTTCCTTATCCCTTACATGATTGAACATTTTGCATATTACAGGTGAAAAAAGTTGTTCCAAGAGCCCATACATTCATACCCAAGCAACTTGTTATGGATTAACAGAGTGTAAGCAAGCAGGGTATTTTTCTCAGCCAGTCCTTTTGCTGGCAGGCTGCATTTTGCAGTTTTTAAAAAAATAGGACCAACTACTTTCTCATTTATCTCAAAAGGTAATCTTATAAGAAATCTTAAAAGAATCTCAAATTTAAACTTTTATATATGAAAAAATAATCATTTAGCTCTACTTTAAGTCCTCAAGGTGTATAACAACTCAACAGTTTTTTATATCAGGAAGCTGAAGTCAGAAATGTGTATAAGAAATTAATTATCACCTTTCATCACCAACCCATCCTAGCAAGAAAGATAGCCAGCCAGCAACAGCTAGGCTGCCATTGTTCTTGTTTCTTGACCTCAACGAGTCCCTCAATCAACTATGTTCCTTTCTAAACTTTAAATTGTTACCCAAGATTTACTATCTCAAAGCCATTGACAAAAACATCTTAACCTAACTTAACTGACAATCTACATCTCTAAATTCTTTCTGAGGGTGGTGGTTGAATCATTAATCTCCTGCAGCAATTCTCAGAAAAAGTCCATCATTATTATTGTAAGTATCAGTAATACTGCCCAGTGAGGGGCTAGAAGCCCTGGAGAGTTTCATACATCCCATAGATTATGAGAGATGTGTGACCATGAAGGCAATGATCAAAGCTATGCTTAAGAGCAGTATAAGGTCTTCTGGACGCATAGTTCTTGGGCTTTGCCTCTCCAGTGCTCACTCGGGTGTGGCTTTGCTAGTCATTAGCTGTGTTTCATGGGTTCCAGTGCTGCCCATTGGTCTCCTTGCATGGCCACCCACAATAACCCAACTCCATTTCATGTCTAAGTCCATGACTTCCTTGTTTCCGCCACTCCAGAAGTCAGTGCTGTAAGCTCTTGTTACCACCTCTGACTGGCCCACTCTTAGCCAGTCTACCATGATGGACTATAATTCTCTGAACCATGAATTCAGATAAATACCTTCCTCCCTGAAGTTCTGTTGGGATTTGGTCACTGAGATGAAGATAGTAACTACCACATGCAAGCTTCCCTACCCTTACCTCCCCACCTTGTTTGGTAGTGTCTCAAATCAAATGCTCATATGGGCCTCACCACACTATTTCTCTTCATCAGTCTTCCTGGGACTCTTGTTGGTCCAGATTTGCACTGTCCATCAAAAGCATCCTGCTGTGTGGGTTTTCAGCACCACCTCCTGCCACTTGGATCTTAGGCAGTGGATGCTGAGTATCACAGACCTGGGGTCAGAGGACAAAGCAGAAATCAATTGTTCCAGATGCAAAAGGGGCTATCCTAACTAGTGACAGTGTTGAGATTGGAATCTGAATCTCTTGGTTCCTTCCCAGGATTTATTATGCTGTTGTGCAGACTCTCCCCTGCCCATCAAAGCGGAACAGCACCATTAGTAGCAGTGATTGCTGATCTCTTTCTAATGTTCTATCTGCCGGGGAGATCTCTGTGCAGTTGCCGGTACCAGACCTGGAAACACTTTCTCCATTTCCATTCTTACAAGTGTTCACAGGAGAGAAGAACAAGCTCCAAGAAGCCACTATAGAGATGGAGGGGAGGAGAATGACAGCCCGGGCTTGTGCACAGGGTGCTGTGTCATCTGTTCCTTAAACAAACCAGCAACCCAGGCTGGAATCACGCCTACCCCTGACATTTGAGAGGCCCAAAGCAAATGCAATGAAGGAGGCCCACGTGCCATGTGTCTAAATATTTGAGCATTATAAATCAAACTAATAAACTTCGAAAGAAGGTTTGTTCTTCCCTTCTGCCTTGACAAATATACATTTATAAGAACCTCAAAGGCCAGGCTCTGATTTCACATCTTGTGGGTTCCATTCAGTCTTGGATGGACTATGGGATTCAGAGGGACAGAGGAAATAAGGCAAACTCACTCCTCTCTTTTCCCACTCTGGGAACTTAAATTGAGCAAAGGTACTCCCCAGTTTGGCTGTTCAGCCGGCATCTGAGTCTTTAGAGACCAGAGAAGATGTCATGCAGGGGAATACACACACACACACACACACACACACACACACACACACACACACACACACGTTTCTTTTGTTTTTTTTCCCCTTCAGATTCTGGAGATTGAACCCAGGAACTCCTTACAAGGCAAGCACATTACAGATGGAGCCATCTCCCTAGCCACAAACACACCTGTTTCTCCAGGAACTTCCTGGATCCTGCTGCCCAGAGAGTAGAGCAGAAAGGAGGTAGGGGACTGTGAGAGGCACCCCATGAGCCTGCAGCAACTTGATCTGGAGCTGGCTCAGGGTAGTATATATCCTGGGAGTTCTCTTACCCACAAATCAACATCAAGGACATCATTTCCATTCACCCACAAAGTCACTGCATATCAAAGGACCTTAGTGACTACTTCCAAACACCAGCAGGGCCAAGACTTGACCCAGCTGCTCTTAACTCCTGAATCCCTCCTCTCTGCCACCTGTTGACACCCTCAACTGGGGAAAAACAAAGCTGATACTGTCTTCACCCCCATCAGAACCTTGTATGTCCTTTGTTTCCTTCCTCCTTTGAAGAGAAAATCACCTGGTCACAGGCCTCCTGTCTCACTACTCCTAAAACAAAAGCTGTGACCTCCCTTCTTAATACCACTGTCCTGGGAACTATGTCACAAACCACAGCTCAGCCCCCTGACCTATACCCTGACCTCAGTCAAATTGAACTTTTCTATGTGTAGTTAGGGTCTTCCCTTTCTCTCCAGTTCTTCTTTCCACCCCAGCACTCCCTGAAACCTCCCTTAACCCACACCCACCCACCTCCTTACCTGGGCTGGGAAGGCATCTGCCCCTTTTCTGACCCCAGCAACAAAGTGAATGTTCAGTCAATTATCTCCCTAGTAACAAGTTGTGTGCACCATGCCTAGGATTACTGGCCTATAAGTGGACCTAATTGGCTCCCTACAGGATAGGAGCCTGCCTTGCTGCTGAATGGATCACTCTGAGAGATAAGGAGGAATGCACCAATAACAACTACCTCCTAGCTCCTCTAGAAATCTATGGTATCATTTGGTGGGAAAAGTCTCTTCCAGGAGCAGCTGGCAGAACCTGATAGACTCTGGCCCAGGACTTGGCATCTTAATTGCCCTCTGGAGAGGAGAGGGGTGTCACCACCCACCTCAGTAGCCTATCAAGGTCAAGGTCCTTTTATCTAAGGTGGTCCTCACAAGCAAAAAGCAGGGTCTGGTATTTACAAGATATTAATATGTCTTTATTGGATGGGTGGACAGCCATCCAGGAAAAGGATGAAAGGCAGGAGATTTTGTGTTTTCGTTTTTAAAAAATCTCAAAAGTGATGGGTGGAGTTTCTATTGGTTGCCTCACTATAGATACAAATGACTAATGTGAAAGGGTGATCCTCAAAGGTAGCCTTTGTTGTGTTAAAGCTCCTATCTTCTACCCTTCCAGATCCTGCTTGTTTGTTGCAGGAGGAGCCTACTTCCACCCCAGGGTCATGTTCAAGTCACAGAGGTTTCTGGCTTCTGACAGGTGAGAAGAGGGCACAAGTGTTTGTGATGACTAGTGACCTGGTCAATCAAGGCCCTTGGCCTCTAGCCCCGGGTTTATCTCCCAGGGAGGTGGCTTTTTATCTTCCTCATCTCTACATGCAACATCCCTTCTATATGCACGGGTGCTCTCTCTCTCTCTGTGTCTCTGTCTCTGTCTCTGTCTCTGTCTCTCTCTCTCTCTCTCTCTCTCTCTCTCTCTCTCTCTCTCTCTCTGGAATATGCAGCAGACCACTGATGAGCTACTTCTCCATGAAGCTCTCAGCTCCCACTGAGCTCAAGCAAGTCCTCTAACACCTCTCTGCCACCACATTAGCTGACACACAAGGTGCACTCCGTGGCAGATATGGCACCTAGCTAACTAGCTACTTGATAATCTTCATACTCTGTCCACACTCATAATCCAGTCTTCCCTCATAATCCAGTCCTCCCAGAGTGCAGACACAGTGGTGAGTGGGGAGGGGTATGTCGGGTACCGAAGGTCATACCTCAAGTCCTTCTATAGCCAGCAGGAAAGGGAAAAAGTTCAACCCCTTAAAATCACACCAACATGAGTCAAGAGATAGAATGAGGTAGTTAATGGGCAACAGGTTCAGGTCAGACCCACCAGCACTACCCACATAGCTCTTTCCTCTTAACATCCTGGACTCTCAGTTTCTCCATTTGAGAGCTAAGCCAGAGCTGCCGGCAAATGCCCACCCAGCAAGAGTCCTGTGTGCGATGGTGTGGATGGTGTGACGTGTGCGAACCAGTGGCAGTTGGTCTGGCTTGGTGGCTGCTGCTGGGATCAAGAACCCAAGCCTTTCGTGGGTGGAGTGCAGCCTGCTTTCCCTGCCCACTCCCTCAGCGAACTGCTGACAGTGGCAAAGCCACGTTGCCATGCTTGGGGGGGGGAAAATGGGGGGGGGGGTTAAGCGAGACGGGACACAACTCTCTTGGCTTTGGTTTTGATGGAAAAAACAAAACAAAACGAATGTTTGGGTTTGATTTCTTCTGAGGCTCGACGAGAACGCCTAGCTGGGCTGGGACCTTCATGTGGAGGAAGAATAGGGGGTCTTTAGGACCCGGGCACGCTCGGACCAGCGATGCTGGGAGGCCAACCTGCGGGGCTTGAATGGGAGGCGGGCGGCGGCGCCGAGAGGCTGGCGGCGGAATAGCTCTGTGGTCGCCAGGCAACCGCCCTGACGCAATGCAAAAGAACGTCCCTTCAAAAAAGAACTGTGCGGTGAATTCGCAGTGCTCGGGAGGCGGGAGCTGAGAGCGCCAAGGGTAGGCGCGGGCTGGCTGCGCGGACCGCGACAGCTCCGGTGACACGGCTAGGGCGCAAGAGGTGGGTTCGCGGCGGCGCGGGTTGGCCAGGCGCTCGGGCGACCAGGTCTTCAGGGCGGGCAGTGGGAGGCTCTGGATCCCACCGCCCTGGAGTGGAGACACCGCCATAAGACAGCGTGGTCCCTTCCCATTTGCTCCTGGGGTCTCAGGCCTCTTTGGAAGGCGTGGAGGAACCAAATGTGGACTCCATGCCTAGGGTCCCAGCTCTCTGCTGACCCTTCCAGGGCTATGATTCCCGATGGGGATTTGAGAGTCTATAATCTGAGAGGGAGGAACCCCTTGGGACTCTGGTCCAGGTCTGCTCATGTAGCCTGGTTAACCACCCCCCCACACACCCCTACACTTCTAAAGGAAAGGAGAGTTCTGGCCTCAAGGGTTCAATCCCCAACTCTGAAGTGAGCCAGAGTACTTAGCTCTGTGGTACCCCAGGGAGACCCAAGGAGACTGCACATCCAAATGTTGGTCAGAGAATGGGCACATCGGCCACAAAGCTGGGCACCTGAATGGCCACAAAGAACAAGGGGCTGCGATGGGGTGGGCAGCTTTCTCTCAGATGCTGTTTCTGTATGTTTCAGTCCTGTTGTGGATAAGCCCTCCTGGGAACATCTGGGAAATGGATTGGTGTCCCTAGCTTCTGTCTTGCACTCATAGCAGTGAATATGATCATCAGTCCCTCTATCTTCTATCATTCCTGGAGACCCTGGGTGACAGCAGGTCCTTGTACAGAGTGCTCAGGAGATTTGGCTCCAAAGTAGCTTCCCTTCCACACCCCAGAGTTCTCTCTTCTTCCTCCCTCTCCTCTCCTTCCCTGGTCTTCTCTTCTTTTTCCTCTCTTCTCTTCTCTCTCTTCTGCTACCAGGCTTGGGATTCACCGGTCAAAGTCCTGGCAAAGCCAAGGTAACCAAAGTACCTGTTAGCCTGTCCTCATCCTTGGGATAGGGGATCCTGCCAGAGTGGTTTGCAAGAGCTTGGTGAAGCAACATGCTCTACTTCAAGCAATACAAAGTGACAGTGCCTCTGCTGATCTCATTGCTGAGAGCCCACCACGTTCTTGGTCACTTAACCTTACAATTACCCTTTAGGAGATAGTGTGAGTCTCGGAGTCTGAGAAGCAAAGATACTTGGAGCAGTTTGAGTAGCTTTGGGAAGCACAGAGACATCCAGGTGCCTAACTCCCTGCACTCCAGAAATGCTGGTAGAGAAAGATTGCTTCAGGAGGCCAGGGAATCCACCATGGCCCCGAGACAAGAAGAGACTATTCACGCCCACATGAAATCACCGTCTCGAGGGGCTTGTCTCATGACCTGAGAAAGTCCCCAGCATGAATAAAGACCTGACTTTGTTAACCAGCACTGCATAAACTGGGCTTGGTAGCCCATGCCTGTAATCTTAGCACCTGAGAGTTGGAGGCAAGAAGATCAGAAGTTCAAGATCATCCTTGGTTACCTAGCAAGTTTAAGGCCAACTTGGGCTACATAAGACCATATCTCATAAAAAGAAAAAAGAAGCAACGAGATTCCCATACTCAAGTGCACCTTGGGTCAGTGAGGAGGAAGGAAGACAGAGCCATTATGAAGGAGACCTAGAAAGATGACACTGGCTGAGCTCACAGGAAACAATCCAAGGATAGGCTAGTGGGCTAGAGTTGAGCAGGAAGTGGCAGATGAGCCTAGCAAATTAGCTAGTGAGCTTTTCATAAAGGCTGGAATCTGGAGACCTGAACCAGGGGTCCTGCCCCCTAAGGACCAATTCTCTCCCTAGTAACAGATACCACTTCTTTCTTGAGTATAGAGCCAAGGAAAGGAGAGGGAGGAGGGCACCAGGAGTCAGAGGTTACCCCACCCTTCCTACCCTGTCCCCGCCCTGTCCTCCTGAGTGCCACACCCTCTCTCCTCTACCATGCTACCATGGCCCTCACCTGGGGGAGGGCGACTCTGTGGATAGTAGCCCTGAGTTCCATGGGCATGGATGGGGGCTGTTTTCTAAGGCAGCCCTCTTCACACCTCAGTCTCTCCCAGAGGCCCTGGCATATGGTAATGACCTTCATGGAGGTGTTTACAGGGTGCCACTGGATGGGACAGGCTTTTATTTCTCACTTCAGAGTGGTAGACTGAGCCCTCCTCTCTCACTGGGGCTGCAAATTCTTTTTAGGATACCCTGATCCAAATGTGGGAGCAGGTTGATGGTGATCCCCAGAAGTCCCCTCCAGGGTGTGTTACATGGGACCTGTAGGGCAAACCTGGGTCAAATCTCGTTTTGCAGGTTGAAGGTTAAGACTTGAGCGAGTCCAGGCCTTGGTCTATGTAGTGGCCACTGTCCCAATTCTTAAAGGCTGGCCTGTATTTCCTCATTCCAAGAAGCCAGCAGAGCCTCTGATCAGTGCCTGGGGACACCTGGGGACAGATCAACAGTAGCTGAAAGAACCTGGGGTGGGAAGGTGGGTGTAGAAACCTTGAGAATGTTTTGGTGAGGACGTATGACCAGGAGATAGCCTGGGAGCCTGGCTTTCCCTTATCTACCACCAAGTCAGAAGTGAGGTCAAATGCCTAGCATTTGAGGAGGCACAGGTGCTAAACCCTGGGGATAGAAGACGTCTAGCCATGATCCTGACCAAACCAAGTAGTCAGAGAGGCAGATGCTCCAGGCTCAGAAATGGCTGTGCTGTTGTCTCAACTGTCTTCTCGATAGGTTGGTAGCTGCTGCTGAAACACGGCAGAAGGTAGCTGCTGCAAGCCTGCTATCCAGTTTGAATAAAAGCAAGCCTGTCAGCAAGTTCTGTCCACATGTGGGCATCTTTTGATGTGTTTACTTCCGAAGGGCTCCAGCAGCTCCTGGGAGCCTGTCCTGGAGGTTTCCTGACATCCCAGCCATCTGCCTCTTGGCACCCAGACCACCCCTCTTTGGAGTACCCGCTAGATGCTTTTACCTTTTAAGTCCATCTGTCCCTCAACTTCATCCATCAACCCACCCCTCTGGAATACTTCTGACTTCAAAAAAGATCAGAAAAAGAATGTGTTTGCTTTGCCTGTTGCTGTGTGCTCATGCTATCAGAGAGAACAACAGCACACCTGCACTGCTGCCTCTGGAAGGGGTGGGGATTTGCAGCTCACTCAGTGAACCACGGGAGGAGGGAGTCTCCATTTGAATGCAATTGGGGGCAGCTAGCCTGGTGAAACCACCTAGAACACCTCTCTCTCTCTCCCCGTCTCTCTCACCCCCTCTCTCCAAAGCCTTTTAGGACCAAGAAAGGCATCATATGGAAGATTCTTGTAAAGGTGGCCTTTGCTCAAGGAGCAAAGAATCGGGTCAAGGCTGCTGAGCAGTAGATGTAATTTGCACAGAGTAAAGGGTGACATTAAGTTGGTGGTCTGCCCACCTTAGAACATACAGACACTTTGTTGAGTGTTAATGTTTGGGAAGTTGCATTCCCAGGGGGTAGGCCAAGGAGAACACCAGCCAGGTCCAGTCAAGGGCAGGGGGTGGCAGTCCAGTCTGAGGTGTCACTAGTCACACACACACACCACACACACACACACACACACACACACACACACACACACACACACACACACACTTTATCTCATTTGACACCCCCCCCCACCATCAGGTTGGTTCTCCTATGATCCTGTTTTATGACCCTAAAGTCTAAGACGTTAGGTTAATCATCCACCATAACAGAGGCAGTTGGTGGCCAGGCTCCACCATCTCTGCCTGCCCCCATCCCTCACTGTCTTGCATCTTTCTGAGGCACCAGATTCCCTCCTGAAGTGGCCCATCAGATGCAGCTTCTGATGACACAATAAGGGGCAGGGTCACACAACCCATTTTCTCTTCTGCCTTCAGTCACTTAGAGCAAAGATTTTTCTCCATACCTGAGTGTGGGCACAGCATACTCCTGCAACAGCTACAGGCCACCCTGGACATCTCCAGCCCGACGTAGACCAGCTATAACCCCACTACACCTTTCACAGTGTTCCATCCAAACTCAAAAGACAAGCAAACAAAACAAATAAAACAACAACAACAAAACCGTAAGACCCTCCAACCCCTGAGCAGTCAGCATAGCCACATAGGGTGTAGAGGTGTGGTACTTGAGTAGACACAACTGTGCACCAGGAATCCTCTTAAGAAGTCCCTGCAAAATGGTTGGGCCTTGGGAGCTTGCAGAATGAAATAGAAAACAAATAGAACAGATTCCCACTTGAACCAGACTTTGTTGATTTTGCTTAGTTGAAGTTGGAGCCTGTTATCATGGATTTGAATAGGCCTAACTGCCTTGTTTGGGGGCCCAGGACAAATGCCACTTGGGATGTTTTCTAGTGGGCCACTATGTCCTTAACTGTGAAATGATACCCAAGTTTCCTGAGAAGCGTGTGCTGCTCTTGTAGTTAGGATACATACCCCAACTGCCTTCTCTTATAGCCACAAATTGCTCCAGAGGACACTCTGTTTGATTCCTCGGGGGCCACTGTGGTCTTTGGAGAGAGTTCTGTAGTCAGATGGGGCAGATGGCTGGGACAGTGACAGACTGCTTTATCAATGGTCCTCCTTCCAAGGAGGACCCCCTTCCGTCTCTTCATCTCTCAAGGCTCTGTTCCACTCAGGAATCTTCCTCCACTCTTGCCAAAGAAGCCCTAGCCCAGGGCTATGGAGGGGTCATAAGGAGGAGTCTGGGGGTCCTCGCAGAGCCCCTCCTCCTCCTAGGAGCAGCCCTGTGCTTTCTGCCCTCCTCCAGGAATGATGTTAGTCCACTGTATGGATCCTGGGAGCCATGGCCTCTCCCAGACCCATAGGGAAGCACACATCTTTCTTGGCAGTTTTCTCAGCAACTTTTTCCACCGGGCAAAATGAAAGCAAACTCATAAGCATCTTGCAGGAGGCCTATGGAGCCCAAGCCTATCAGTGATTCAGCACTGACCTAGCACTTTGAATTTGCAAAGATCTTCATAAGTATTTTTATAGATTCCACCCTCATAGTTCTCATTGTGACCAAAAAAAAAAAAAAAAAAAAAAAAAAAAAAAGGCTTCCCATTTCTTAGACAATGGAAGCAGGACTCTGTTTAGAGTCCAAAGATTCAAGTTCCAGCAGGTCTAGTCAGCCCCACTAATGGAGCTACCATGTGACTCTGGGCCATTCTCATGACATCTCTGGTTTGGGGTTTCCATGGGGTCTAACACTTGGGAAGGTTTGTCTAGCCTGGGCCACAGCAAAAGTTTATAAGCAACAGTGTGGTTTGAAAACGCTTATGGATGATCTTATTTCAGGTGTGCAGACAGAAACACTGAATTCTGAGTGGAGGGGCAGCCATTAACACAGGACACTGCAAACCAAGCCTTTCTGGGTGAAGGTCCGTGAGAGAACACAGGTAAGTGGGTTCTGTCCCATGTGGCTCCAAAATGTGGTCGCCAGCCCCTTGGCTGCTATCACCTGAGAAGCTGCCCCAGAAGGAAGCAGAGGCCAGTGGTACAGTGTGTTCGCTGAGAGCTCAGAGGCAGCTGGTGGGCCACGTGGACTTTCTCTCCATCCCCAAGTTGAGCCTGCCCCAGATAGTTCTTATTTCCATCTCCCTCGGAAATGGTGAGATCCCAATGGGAGAATGCGCCCATGCTGCTACTGGAGCCCCTGCCCCCAAGACTTTTATCGAACCCTGTGCCATCTTCTTGTCCTCCCACACTGGGAGGACTCAGGCCATAGGGACTGCCTCTTGGTCAGTCTCCTACACATAGGCAGAAGTCAGTTCCTGTACCATACAAGTTCCAAGAGCCATGTGGCTTGTCGGGGGTGGCATGATGGGTGTGGCAGAACCGTCCCTAAGCTCCAGTGTCCCCACAGCCATGCCTGTTTGCAGAGGAGGACCCTGGACCAGAGATAGACACTGGCCTCTTTGGAAGGAAGGAATGGATTATTATGGTGCTTTGTTGCAGGAAGGAACTATCCAGGTAGCACCTAGGCTGCTTCAGAATTGCCCTGGGTGAACAGCTTTTCACTCACATCCAGTAAGACAACCGTCAACCATCATGCCCCACCCCAGAGAGAGAGAGAATGTCATTCACACACATGCATATGAATACTCAGAGGGACAGTAAGACAACACAGCAACAACAACAAACACACACACAAACATACAGAGAGAGAGAGAAGAAGAAGAGAACAAGACAACCATCCCACCCTATCACACACACACAGTTATCAACATTAAGATTTTCAGATACACACACAAGACAGCCATTCCACAGCCAGTAAAACAACCACTTCCTACACACACACACACACACACACACACACACACACACACACACCAGCACAATTAGCTCCTTCCCTGCCCCTGTGGCCAGGGACACCCCACTTCAGGTGCTCCTAACAACACTGACTAGGAGCTGGAATAGAAATGGGCCTGGGAAGGGGAAAGATGACTGGCAGAGGGCCAGATCAGCGGGTGTCCCTCCTGCTTCAGTCACCATGGCAACTCCAAGGAGGAGGAAAAGGGCTCTGGGCAGTGCCCAGCTTGTATGATCAGCTTCAGGGGCGGGGGTGGGGGGACTGTGCCCCCCTCCTCTCATCCCCAGCTTGGCAGGGCTGAGACACATCTGCCAAGCATGGATGGTCATATCACAGGCCACACCTCCAGCTTGGGTGAGTTGGGTAGGAGCACCCCACCCCCATGTAAGATAAGCATCAAGTTTATGATTAACCCTGGACAGATAAGCCTGCCTGTCCCAGGAAGCCCACACCTATGACTCTTCCTACGCCTGAGAAAACTATAGTGCCCACTGAAGGCCCTTTACCTCATCATTTCATCCACCCCATGGGCCTACGACAGCTTCATCCTCAGAGGAGCCCAGACAGGGTGGTCCTGCAGGCTGTCAACTACTCTTCTCACTTTGTCCTTCACTCTGCAGTCTTGCAGACCCCCTCAGAGTGCAGCCTATTAGCAGAAGCAGAGGGTGTGATGGGAGCTGCCTGCCCCAGCATGTTGATTAGGAGGCCAAAGACACTGTCCTTAGTCAGGTCACAACTTTCTGAGTGACATGCAGGCACTCTCAGCAGAGGAACAGTGACTTCCTTGTATGCAGTGTGAGCCTCTGCCCACTGGCCAAGCCTGGCCTGGCTCCTGTAGTAGAGTATTGGGCAGTCAGACAATGTTGGGGTGTGAAAGCCAGACTCGCTGAACACATTCCTTATACCTGCCTTGCTAAAAACAAAAAACAAGAACAAAAAAGTCAGCTCCCAAAGGAGCTTGATCATGGTGTGGCCAGCTCTTCATTCCAGAAGCTTCTCTAAAATGACTAAGTAATGCCTGCTAATGGAAAGTTTTCGACATGGGTGGGACTCAGAAAGGAAGTAGCCAGCCCTATCCAGATAGTATGTTCTAGAAAACAGCACAGCAGCCCCAAGGAATGTGGAGGGAGGCTGTGGGCTGTCACCAAGGTAACCTATACCTTAAGCCGGTCACTCAGTCCGCAACTCACTCTTCCCAACTTTGTAGTCGAGAAGACCTGACCAACCTTCCTTGCATACAGGTGGCCTGTAGTCACAGTCAAGGTGGCCCTCCAGGTGGGGACAGCACCACTGGACAGCACAGAGCTGGGACAGAGCCCTAGCCTGTTGAGCTATGTAACAAGGGAGAATGTCTAGCCCTTGACTCCAGGCTCAGCCTTGTTGCCCGACTGGCATTGCCCTCTTCACATCTACCCAGGACCAACCCTTGCTCCGCTACTTCTTTCTCATCTCTGTGCTTCAGTTCCTCGTGTAGTGGGATGATCACACTACACAGTCACAGGTCCTCGAGCTTGTGAAATTTCTTCAGAGTGACTGGCTTGATAGAAGCTGCTATGGCAGTGTTGATGAATAGTACCTAGAAGCATGGTTGCTAGGGCAGGAGCCAAGGTGCACTGTAGAAGAGAAAGGGCCACAACTAGTAGAGTTCCAGAGGGACAGCCAAGGGCAAGGAAGGGGCCACCGAGAGGGAGATAGCATCTGTACACCTGGTCTTAGGCCTGAGGTGAGGAGTGTTGGGGTGTGGCAGGCATTGAGTGAGGAGTGTTGGGGTACGTAGTCATTAGTGGGAAGTTAGCAGAAGATAGAGAACTCCCAGCTCTCCCCAGTAGGACCCTGTTCCCAAGAACCAGCCTCTTCAGCCTTGGGGATCTTATAGAGTCAGATCAATTGAGGCGCAAATGTGTTAAAGCCCTCTGGGAACTATCATCTTTGATGCTTTGCTGGTGTTGAGCCTGGGGCACCTATCTGTTCCTATGTTCTCAGTAATGCGCTTCTTTTCCTGGGTGACAATCACAGCCTCTTGCCAGTGCTCCTGGGCTGGTGTTTTGTGACACAGGTATTTTTTGTTGTTGTTTCCAACCTGTAAAATCAACTCAAAGCACTAGTGACATTAAACCTCTTTCAGGCAGCAGGAAAAGTCTCCAGGTGACACCAGGTGTTAATATTGAGAATACCCTACTAGTGGGAGACTGCAGGAAGCTCAGATCCGTGTTGACTAGATTATAGGAGTAGCACTAGGGCCACTTCTGGGCAAGTCTTGCTATGGGGATTGTCACCTTGCTGAGGTTGCATAGAGAGGCACATCTCCAAACAACTGTCCAGGCTGACCAGACATACAAATGTTTGCCCCAGTTTGGGCATCCTGCTGCTATCCATTAGGGAAGGCCCATCGCATGTCCTCTTCCTCACAATGACCCCAGGTGACATTTCTGTTAGCAGGAGTAGGAGTGTAAACAGCCACATATGGCAAACTGTCACCCTGTCCTCACCAAATGTTGCTTTCAGTTGGCTGTAAATTTGGAAACAGCTATGAATGCAGACACACTCAGTAAAAATTTAGTAAGAAGAAGGTGACAACTCATCCTGTTAGTTCTCAACCGTGTCTCTCTCTAAGGGACACATAGAAATGTGGGTGCCACAACATTTCATAACATTGCTTGGCTTTCAATTATATTAGTTTCCCATGCAAATGAGCTGTGTAGCCCTCACTCTAGCCAGGGCTCCAGAGTGTAGACAACAGGAAATCAACATGGTTGTAGGGGTATTGGGCAGCCATAGGAAATGAGAGGAGGTAAAGGCCAAGGAAGGAAGCAGGCAGATGCAGGAAAGACCCAGAAGTCAAAACCAGCCCCCTGCTTATTTAGTAGAGACATTGGCTAAGAGACCTCTGCATTTCACAGCCGTCTTGGAACTAGAACCTAGGTGGCCACCTGTGAATTCTCATTGGCTCTTCCCCTGGGCCTCTTCAGATTGGAGTCCAGGCCCGAGCCTCTGATTGGTCAGGCTCAAGTCACATGCTCATATCTAATAGGACCTTGGCAGAAGAAGGGAACTTGGGGCTGATCCTGTGGTCACAAACACAAAGGGTGTCTGGCTTGCTTCTGGTTCCACAAAACATGGGTGCTCTGTGCAGACAGCAAAGGAGGGGATTAGTTGTGGCATAGAAACAAATAAAAGCCAAATACCAGCATTCACCATGCTTTTTCCTTCCTTGCCCTAATATGTGCTTGTTCGCCAGTTATAATTGTCAGTAATCTAGCTGGAAGTAGGTCCCAGAGGAGAATCTAAAGGGCTGTATCGTCAAAGCCTAGGTTGTAGGTTCGGGGTAACTGAACAAAATGTCTGTTCACCTCAGGTGAGGACCAGTGACAGACCAAAGAGATGATGTCCCCAAGTCTAGCTTAGTGAATCAATGGGATTAGGTAACAATTCAAGTTACGTGTAGGAATGTGGGCTCCTTCTACACCACTGAAAAAGAATGCTTGCCTTCCCCTAGCAACTGTTAACTGTTTATATGCCTTAGGAAAGGTGGTAGGTACTTCATGAGCTCCTTCCTCCCATGATGGAATATTAGTGAGCCCATCTTGTATGGGTCTTCTGTGGGTAAGAGCAGCTGCTGAGAGTTCAAGAGGGAACAGTCTTGTCATGCTCTGAGAACAGTGTCCCACAGCAGTCGGGCTTTTAACAAGGCCTATTGGGGGCCTCACACTGTTGTGTGTGCTTGGGGTTATAACCTAGAGAATGCTTTCCCTGTGATAGCAAGAGGCTCCTAGTAACACCAGGCTGCTGGGAGTGCTCTGATTAGCTCAGTTAAAGCCATGCGACTGCACCTGAAGCCACAGGGATTATCAGTGCCCTAGGAACTGAGAGATCAGGTTCCTCAAGGCAAAGTGGACCAGTCTCTCTGGAGGACGGAAGGGAGAAGTACCATGGGTGGATATGACCCCATACAATGCTGAGCTCCAAGGAGGTCCCCTCTGCGTCAGTTCAAATTCTCAGGGCATGGCACAAGCTGAGTCTACTCCTGATTTGCCTGGGGAAGGGTGGGGGAGGCTGCACAGCGGCATTCAGGAACACAAGTGTACA